CCCTCCCTTATTCTTTCTCTCCCTCTCTCCTTCTCTCCCTTCAAAATTAATTAACAAATCAAAACAGTAAATAAAACACAAAGGTACTCGCAAACCCACCATTTTATTATATTATTATTATTATTATTTATTTTAGTTTTTTTACTGGAATACCAAGCAAGTCGGCCCCCTCAATCTGGTACCAGGGTTCGGGACAGCGGGTTCGAGTCTCCGAGAGGAGGGGAAAAAAAAAGTGTTCAGTCCCACGACTTTGATGTTTCGCTACAACTTCCGAATTCCAAGAGACAGGAATTCCGGATGAGATGAAGGAGGGAGGGAGGGAAGGAAGAAGGGGGGGAAGTGAGGAGAAATAGGAAGGAAGAACTGAGGGTTGTTATATGTGTGTGTGAGAGAGAGAGAGAGAGAGAGAGTTTTCTCTTTTAGGAAAATATCACCGTAAAAGAATTATTTTTTCCGACGTTAATAACAAAATTTATCCGAAGGTGACAAATCCCCCCCCCTACCAGGATACATATGGGGGGGGGCGAACGGACAGACAGACGGACAGATTCACTTACACCGCACCATCCTAAAACCCACAAGTGACCGATCCAACCACACCAATTAAACAAAAAGACAGGAAAATGCGTCTAAAGGGAATCAAACGACTAAATTACGACGAACTTTTTATAGACAGATAGACAGACAGACATATATCGTTATATACCCAACTGAGAAGATTAAAAAAAAAATAAGAAAAATCAGTATATGTCTGTACTAACACACAGAGGCACAACACAACAAGAGTGTCCCAGGCGTCAACACGGTGAAGATAACTCACTAAAAAACATCCTCGACGGTGATGAAGTTTTACCGCGTCAGGGTGTCGTGTGAAGGCGTTGGGACACTGCATCATGTGTGTGTGTGTATGTGTGTGTGTATGTGTGTGTGTGTGTGTGTGTGTGTATAACCATGTTTACGGTACATTCGCCCTGTGTGTATGCAGCATAGACGGATCCAGAGAGGGACTAGCAAGCCATGGCTCCCTTACAGAAAATCTGGGTCTTTCCCCCTTAAAGATCCTGAGGCACCCAACCTAACCCAACCTAACCTAACCAGGACAGTTTGGTACAAGTCTATACTGATAATCACCTTACAATATGTCCTAATATCCCGTGCACATGGGCTTCAAAATGTCCATGAAATTGGTCTGATTTAGAGTATTTCCCCGGACTCCCAGTTGTATGGGCTCACTACAGTGGTGGTTCAGATGTATGTACACTTTAAATCCTGGAATACACACATGGTCGTACGATGAAAATTTATTGTAACAAGAGATGTTATAATACATGGTTTAAAGGGACAGGTTTAAAGGGGACACTTTCTATTATTAAAAGTTTAAAGGGACAGTGTCTATTAATAAAAGGGACAGTTTTAAAGGCACCGTTTGTAGTAACATTTAACCGCAAGTGATTTTTAAAGTCATTTCATTTCTATTTTGATTTTTAAACATAATTTTTTTTTATTTAGTTTACATCATTGCCAGAGGTCACTGGGGTAGATTTCGAGCGGCTGTCGACAATTTTTACACCAACGTAGTGTAAATGTGTAAATGTGTTGTATAAATGTATGAATGTAAGTGAATATTCAGATATGTAAATATTTGTGTCTTTATCTAGAAGTTCATTTGACTCCTTTTAACAACTCCCTTCCCTCACCAAACACGACAATCAAGTGCTCCTCCATATTCACCACAACACGCCGTCACACAACACCCCACCATATCATCATGCCACACCATTAAATACCACCACACCATATCACACCATCACACTACATCACAACACCACACCACCACATCACACATTCAAACTGTACTGTATTGCTACGCCACCTCCCTCGCCACACATACACCATACACGCAACACCTAAGAATACAATACGTCCCCAACATGGGCATCATATATTCATTCAAAATAAATACATAACATAGTACAGCAGTGGTGAGTCAATTGGGTGCTGCCACACACGATAAGCCTCATTCCTAATAGGCCCCTGTCATAATAGGAAATAGGCCCGGGTCACAATAAGCCCTTCCCCCTTCCTCCTCTCCACCCTTTCCTTCTTCCTTCCCTTCATCCTCACCATCCTCCCTTTCCACCCTCCCATCACCCCTCTCTCCCACCATGTCGTAGTATCAGCAGATGTACCAAGATCATTCTATTGAGATATGTCGCCCTCTCCAATCACCCTTCAAATATTGTGCCGTCAATCTCCATGGGTTGTGTCTGGCTCTCCTTCCCTCCCTCCCTCCCCTCTCTCTCTCTCACTTCTTCCTTCCCTGCCTGCCTTCTCTCCCTCCTTCCCTCCCTCTCCTCACCTTCCAGTAGTATCAACAGACATACACCAACATTCCCCATGAGAGATAAACAACATTCTCTCATCACCCTTCAAAAATTACACCACTCGTTTTCCTCACGTGTTGTCCTCAGTCCGACCGTAACCCCCAGACAGCGATAGCCAATACCCGTCTGCTGAGCATTGCCCCGTAAATATAGAAAGGCTATCTACCTGTCTCTATTTGGCGAGGCTACACGTCAGCGGGAGAGAGTAGACAGACAGAAACTACGTGCGAATCTGGGAGAAGAGGTGAGCTTATTGTTGGGGTGGTTGGCTGGGGGGGTAAGGTTGGTTAGTTTTGTTGAAGAGATGACTAGTGGTTTGTTGAGAGTGTGTGTGTGTGTGTGTGAGGGAACTCCAGCAGGGGAACTACTGACGGTGTTTTTTCCCTGCCAGTCACAGTCCCCGAGAGACTAGCTGCTGACGGCGATCCTCCAAGGACAACTCCAAGGACGACTTGAGGTAGAGGGAGGGAAGGAAGGAATATGGAGGAGGTGATAGTGGTATGGATTGCCTGAGGGAGGAGGAGGAGGACGATGATGTGAATGGAAGGATGAGCGAATAAGGAAGGAGAGAGAGAGAGAGAGAGATGGAGAAATGACGAAGGAGGGAGAGAGGGAGAATAGGTGACATTGATGGGATGTAAGGAAGAGGGATACGTAACTGTGAGAGGAAGACAGAGGCAGAAATAGGACCAAAGGGGCGAAGGAGTGAGTGAGGTGAGAGAGAGGGAAGATACAGGTAGGGATGAGGGGAATTACCAAAATAGGGTGTTGGGAGGAAGGCTTAAGGAGGGAGAAGGGGAAGAGAGGAAGGATAGGAAAATGGGGAGGGGGGGGAGAAGATTATAACGAGGAGAAGATTTAAAGGTAATTTAGATAGGCGGATGAGAGGCAGGGATGAGTGGAGAGGAGGGAAGGAAGGAGGAGGATAGGGGAGGAGAGAGAGAGGATAGGGGTAATAACGGAAGGAAGATTTAGGGTTGACTTAGATAAAGGGACGGAGAATGTGGTGGGGGATGAGGGAAGGTGGGGGAGGAAGGGGAGGGTAGAGGGGAAGGTGGAGGGGAGGAATGAGGAGGGGGGAGGGTAGAGTGGAGGTGAAGGAGGGGTAGGTGGAGCTAGCCAGGCAGATCAACACCACACTACACACACACACACACACACACACACACACACACACACACACACACACACACACACACACACACACACACACACACACACACACAAACACCTTCATCTCTTCTATATATTTTCTAACACTATGAAGTTACCCACAAGAAATACTCATAGTCAGGTTCTCTCTCTCTCTATCCAGTCGCGTCACCTTTACCTCTGCAGCTGACGTGAGTAGAGTACAGATATCAGACTCTTCTAATGACTTTATTGACACGAAGGACAAAACCAATGACACACACCTCCTGAGTTTCGAACCAAGACAAACACGACACGAGAAAGACTTGTAACTTTTGCAACACCTGAACAGAGATGAGGAATAACCGAATATTTACCTGGGATTAATGTGATTTATTTATTTTTTATGATTTTGGATTGATTTTCGTAATTTTGTTTATAATGTTATTTATTGTATTTATTTGTATCTCGCTTTAGTTATCATTACGTAGGGTTATGTATAGTTTGTCACAGCAGTTATTAAAGACACACTTCTCACCCCACACATCACAAGAATTACCACAAACCCACAAACAAACCCTCACAAGGTACCGTACACCCCCACACGCCCACATCATCAAGTCTACCCAGCCCTCAACCTCCTCGTCTCCCGGGGTGTGGGTCACATGTTTACACGGGCGGGGGAACCTGTGTTTATCACGCCTAACTGCTGTCCCGTCATCAGAGACCCTTTGTGTTCGCTCCTACGTCCTTCTCCTCCTTGTGCTGGACATTGACGGGTCTCTCTCTCTCTATCTCTCTCTCTCTCTCTCTCTCTCTCTCTCTCTGTGGGGGGGTTGTAGGTCATGTGGGCCCCAGTCCTACTAGACCAAAATCTAACCTAACCTAACCCAATTTCAACTCGCCCCTCCAACGTTTATCTCCTTATAGTCGACACATTTCAACATATTTTCGACAGATTTTTAGCCAGATTCATCGGGTAATCCAAGAGTCATACCAGATTTTTATTCCCTCCTAAAAACTAAAAAAAATAAACATCATCTCCACCACTCAATCAAAAGCCGATTTCAACCCGATTTTTACCTTTTACAGCAAGAATAAAAAAATATATATAAATCGGGAAGAAACACCATCGATCGGATATTACGAATAAAAAACGGGAACGTGAATGGAAAAAAAAAGTCGAAAACTTTCCTTTAATTTCCCTCCGTGGTGACGAAATGTGATCGGAAACTCCAGTGATGTGACTATATTAGGTTTGACCTGAAATATATGGGCGGTCGTTAGGTGAGGGAAGGAGATTGTAACGTAGGAAATGGTCGCTTGTAAATAGTTACGTGTCTACGATGCTGTCATATATGTATGGCTAAGAGAGAGAGAGAGAGAGAGAGAGAGAGAGAGAGAGAGAGAGAGAGAGAGAGAGAGAGAGAGCATTCAGATACAATACAATACGAAAATAATGAACAATAATCACACAACACTCACGGGTTTCTTGTCGAGTGCCACCCAGGTGAAGTAGAGTCTGTGGACGTCGGCTGGCACTGGCACCCTCCAGTTCATGGCATAGTCGTTGACAACACCTTCCCTCACGTAGTACAGCTCAGCCGTCAGTCCTGCAGGAGAGAAACAAACACCACCTAAATTACCTTATATTCTGATTTACATAAACTGGCTTAGTAATTACACTCGTCCTTCAATAATACATAATTATAAGGTAGAATTCGATACATTTATACATAGATGGGTTGTCTGTATGAGTGTCAGTAGGTTTAAAGTCATGCTTGATTAGAGTTATCGTACTCCATACAACCTAACGTAACGTAACCTAACGTAACGTAACCTAACGTAACCTAACCTAACATAACGTAACCTAACGTAACCTTTGCAGTAATAAATCAAGATAATTCACGTTACTTAAACATAAGAGGGGTCTAAAGAGGGTTACAAATTTCCTTTATAAATATCAACTTATAATATCAGGTTAACCTAAAAAAAATTCTTTAAGTAAATTAACTATTAAATTATCAATCACTGTCAACTAGTAATGATCATTAGACATCTCTAATTATCATAATTATAAATATTAATTATCATACACTAATTAAGGTTCAAGATTATTTACACATTATAACAAAAAGTAATTTATTTGGTGGTTTTATTGAACAGGAAGACACTGAGCAGTTTAGTTTGTTAGATATATCTGTGTGTGGCTCTGAGGTCATCCATCCATCTCTTAGACTTATCATAATTATGAGTTATGTGACACCACCTTACGATGAAACAAAGGCCCGCTTGTATAGATGATGTATGACCGTGTGTGTGTGTGTGTGTGTGTGTGTGTGTGTGTGTGTGTGTGTGTGTGTGTGTGTGTGTGTGTGTGTGTGTGTGTGTGTGTGTGTGTGTGTGTGTGTGTGTGTGTGTGTGTGTGTGTGTTTGTGTGTGTATGTATGTGTCTGTCTGTGTGTGTGTGTGTGTGTGTGTGTGTGTAGTTATATTTCGTACTAAACACAAAACAGGAATAAATACGACATATAATCACCACAAAAAGGTAGCACTTGTACGTCCTCACTGTCTCATCATAGTTACCAGATAAATAGTGGGGGGGGCCATGTGTTCCCCCAAGTGGTTGTTCAAGTAGCAGCCGCCACTTGACAACCCTCTTGTGTTGGTAACAATTTACACATTACTAAACGCCTATATTTTTCTAGTTTCATTTTTTCTCCATACAGACAAGAACAAAAAATTTAACGCACAATATTTTTAACAATTAACCAGATCTTAGAAAACACATACTTATTTTCTTATATTAATCAACAAATAAACACAAAAATAGTAAATAAACATTAAAACAAGACAGAGAAAATAACATGAAAACAAATATATAAAAACACAAAAGAAATGTCAAATCAAGATCCAAACGAGACACACAAACGTTACCTCAAAACCATGACACAAACACAACCACACTGCTCGCCTGCCTCCCTGCCACCTGTAAACATTGCCTCCACCACCACGCCTTCAGGAGCACCACGCCTTCATATGTAACAGAGAACGTAGAGGAATTGTTTACTCTTGTGTGTGTGTGTGTGTGTGTGTGTGTGTGTGTGTGTGTGTGTGTGTGTGTGTGTGTGAACGTACGCATTAAAGTATTAACTCGCTATGTGTGTAATATCAAAACGACATCTGCCGATTTTGCATTTTTTTCCCAAAAGCTAAAATTATTATTAGCACGGATAAGCGTTTCTGTTAATTGACCCAGTTATTCGGCTGGCTGAGCTTTTATTTCTCTACTAGAAACTATTTTTATTCTTTTGTTTACAGTTATTTGTGTAATATGAAGGTGAGATTACCTTACTAAAGTGCTTTTGTTCACCGCTGAAGTTTCTATTTCAGTAATGGAATGGCTTTCACGGACACGAGTTCATTACGCTACCTGTCTGAAATTCCAGGATCCCGGATTCACCAAGACCTGAACGTTTATTTTTTCCCACAACAAATTTAAAAACGCAAATAACTTATTATATATATCTGCAATCTACTATGTATACCTGTAATCTACTATGTATACCTCTAAGCTATGTATACCTGTAATCTACTATGTATACCTGTAATCTACTATGTATACCTGCAATCTGTCAAAAAAAATCCAGTACATCTTCCGAAAGTCCTAAGACCTACAGTACCTTAACACGACCTTTTAGAAGGATTAAAATGAAAGGTAAAGTTAAAGACCACAAAAAAGGAATAGATCTAGACTCCATTAAGACGATAATGGCGCTGAGGGGAGAAAAACACCCTCAGCGCCTTTACTTCCACTCCCTTGTGTCTGGTGAGGAGGGCGAGGAGGATTGTGAGGAGGGTGGGGAGGAGGGTGGGGAGGGTGAGGAGGATTGTGGGGAGGGTGAGGGTGAGGAGGGTGGAGAGGAGGGTGGGGAGGAGGAGCCTTTACCTTGGAGATGTCAGTGTCGCCTCTCACCCGGTAGTCGGTACACCTGTCGTCTCCTCCACCACCATGATCATCACCACTACAATTACCACCATTGCCACCACTAGCACCACTACATGCACCACCACTAGCACCACTACTAGCACCACTAACTCCTCTATACCAATCCCGCGATTCGCCTCAAGACACCTGCAGGGACTAGAGACAAAAACAACAACAAGAGGCAAACGTCTCTCTCTCTCTCTCTCTCTCTCTCTCTCTCTCTCTCTCTCTCTCTCTCTCATTTTCCTCCACCAAAGTCATGCTAAGATTCAGTAACAGTTCATTTATAACCACGACAAAAGAGATCAACATTAGGCAATATTCCAAGGGCATGACAGTGCTACACAATGCATTCCGTCCTTTGTAATGATGGTCGACTATCCTGTTATAAACCATTAAGATGACCCCTTCTTATCTGTATAGTGTCTTCTAGTGAGGTGTTTGAAGGATGAATATAGTGCTATGCTGAAGAAAAATTTATATATTTATTGTCCAGTGGAGAGGCAGGTCGGTGTTGTCTGTGTGTCTTTCACTTTTCTCTTCCTGTTTCGCATTAATTTTCCTCTCTGTATGTATGTATGTATGTATGTATGTTTCTGCCAATCTGTCTATCACTCATTTGGACTCATCAAAGGTATCCGGACTCATTTAACAAGACTTGGACTCAACATTCATTTCATCATCCGGACTCACTACCAGAAATCATTTCCAGGACTCATTACCAACAGGATTCACTACTACCAGGACTCAACTGAGGACTCATTACCAGAACTTAACTAAGGACTCAGACTTAACAAGTACTCAACGACAATCAGGTAAACAAAACATGATGGCTTATTGGACTCACGTGTTTACCTCTGTTTACACGGTACGAGTCCCATAAAATCTGTAATTCCCGAATATTATGTAATTTTTTATGGGTTGTGAAGCGGCAGTGACCCTCCCCTCCCCCACCCACCCCCCAGGTGCATTATGGAACGTCACACCTGTTGGCTTAAATTACTCTCATTAAGCCAGGTAAACCAAAATTGAATAATACACTAATATGGACTTTTTACTGCACAACTTCCTAATAATGTAAGAATTTTTTTTTATTGATTTTTATTTTATTTAACGTAAGATAATTATATTTGTTTTATTATTATTATCTAATTATTATCTTCATGGAATTTGTAATATTGTAGCAGATTATTTTGTTGGTTTGTTTACGCTCAGGGGTACTGATTTTTGGAAGCTGCACAGTCACAACAGATGGACTTAATATTATCGTCATCATCATTATTATCATCATCGTCGTCATCATCATCATCATCATCATCATCATCATCATCATCATCATCATCCATTATATCTGGTTGGACTATTTACCATTACGACCATCACTGTGCTTCCTATCATAACGATCACCACCACCCATCTACCTACTACTACTACTACCACCACCACCACCATCACTCACCTACTACCACCACCTCCACCAACACCACCCATCTCTCAATAGTTGTAGTCTGGTGGGTGTGTTTTGGGCCCACAACACCCTCATCATTTATCTTGGTAACTTCTGGCTCATCTCTTGCTTATTTTTCTTCCTCCCCCCCTCACCCTCACCCCTCCCTCCTTCCCCCTCACCCCCTACCTGGCACCTCTACTGATAAACCCAGAGTGCCAGAGTTCCCCTCACCTCCCTCATAATTTTTTCCCTTCGTCTCAGGTCATCAGTCAGGTGTGCTGGGAGGATTTATGACGCTTTAAATCCTCCTTAATCCCCTTCGCCTAGGTGGGAAAATCCAAACCAGGGGGGAGGAGGAGCGGGGGATGGGGGAGGAGGGGATGGAAGGATGGGAGGGATGAGGGGAGGAGGAGGATAGGGGTGGGGATGAGGGGACGGGAAGATGGGGGATGAGGGTACGGGGGGAATGGGGATGAGGGAACGGGAGGATGAGGTGGGGATGAAGGGACGGGAGGTTGGGTTGGGGATGAGGGGACGGTAGGATGGGTTGGGGATGAGGGGAAGGAAGGATAATGGGATGGATGAAAGGACGGGAGGATGGGTTATAATTTCTATGACACAGCCAGATGAATGTCTCCAACAACCATTAGTTCTTCTATCTGTCATAAGGGGACATAAATTACCCAGCATTAGGCAGAGGTGGGAGATGCCTGGCCGGAGTTACCACCTTACCTTTCACGTATCCTCTCCTACTGTAATAATACCACAGTGAAAGAAGTAAACTATTCTATCCTCTACTTCTTGTGATCTTGATTTTAACTTCGTCCATTTATTTCCATCTCATGTTTAATTTACTTTATTTTAATATATTTCCTCGAGTTAAATTTTTTTCTCGGATTAAAATGAATTACAATATTAAAAGAAAAAATAATGGGTGTATTTTGTGACTATAAAAATATTGACTATTTATTTTGTTCAGATTTTTGTGTTTTACGATAAAAGTATCTTCTTGATGCGAAATTTTACTCAGAATTTTTTTTTCTTTTTCCCTCACCCTAGAAGAAACGTCCCTCACCCTAGAAGTAACGTCCCTCACCCTAGAAGTAACGTCCCTCACCCTAGAAGTAACACACCCTAGATATACCTCACCTTGGGAGTGCCAAATGTCACCCCAC